CCAAGGTTTGGTCGGATAACTAAGCCGCGCAAGATACATCCCATGCACACAATAGGCGAGACTGGGACTTACAAACCGAGCTATCCCCAAGGACTGATCTCAAGCTTTTACACAAGGGGACATTCCCTAGTAGTGTATTTCAGATCGTACCTTTAAAAACATTCATGCAAATGATGCATGTAAATCAAGACTCTATACATTATTTTATCACATTATCATGTCTCATTATCATATAACCTCATCATGTCATCTCAATCATATCAATTTATCTCACATCGTATAATCATCAAGTATATTCATTTAAGGATAACATTGAATAACACAAGAAATTCTCATCACTTCTAATCATAGATCACACGAGAGAAGTAACATAAGATTCACATTACACCAATAGAATTCATCAAACAAAGAAGGAAAGAAGCATACCAGGCAATTGGCGCCCAACCCCAAATTGGGTGCCCAATGCAAGGCTTCTAGAGTGTAACCTTAATTAACTCTTTGGTTAAGCCAGGCTTAGCGTGGGCCACGCTCAACCTGAGGGTCCCAGACAACATTGGTAGCTCTCTACTACCTTGATGCTCAACGTTAGAATTGGCACTCAGCGTGGTTTTTGCGATAAAAAACTTTGAAATTTGCGATTTTTACATTTTGCATTCAAATCATCAATCTCTTCATACAATCGATGAAAGTGTCCTAAATTATGAAAAAAAATAATATTAAAAGTAGTATGATTTACTCATACAATTATATCTTCAAATAATCCTCTTATACAACTACCAATGTATCCCTTTAGGATTTTCCATAGGAACCCATAGAAACACCAAAATAAATCTGCAATCACAAACTAAACACAAACACTACTCATACATACATACTAATTACATTAATTAGAACATTCAAGAAGAAATAGAGAAGAAAAAGATACATTTGGGGAAAACCCCTCACACAGGCATACAACAGAGACAGAGACAAGATTAGGAGCCAATCCCACTATTTAATATACATTCCTACACCCAGAGTGAGGTTTCTTACTCTTCCCACGTTATTGAGCAGAAAAAGATGCATGATCGACTTTGGGGTGGTTTCTTCCTCCTTCAAGTTCTCTGAACTTTGAAGCTTAAATGTGTACGTGAAAAAAATGTAAAGTGTAAAAATTGGTTAGCTTTTTTTTTTTTTTTTTTTTTTTTTTTTTTTTTTAAAGAAAACTTAACCTCCCTTCAAACCTTTAGTAAAAAATGTGAACAATGGTTATCTTAAGAATATTCTTTCCCTTATTTAATAAATAATTAAATAATATAACATTTAATTATAAAACATCACAATATATTCATATGAAAATAATTTCCAATAGTTACTAAAATCAACATATTTAATTATTATACTAAATATGATAATTAATAATAAAATAGACATTAATCAACTCTCATTTATAAAATAAAAATACTAAAATTATTAATAAAATACTTATATTATATTTTATAAAAATGAGATGTTACATATGATGTGTGAAAAGGTTAGATTTGTGAGACTAAATCAACTTAATTATGACTAAGTTGACATATATGTCCATATTTAGAGTGACATTAGATATCTTTTAAACCTATGTTTAATTTAAAGCTACATTTTCTCGTTAAAGATGATAGTTAAATATATTTATTTTTCATAATTTTATAAATAAAATATACATCATATTTATTAAAATATTATTAATTATATTTATCGTAGGTATTGTCTTCACTTATTGTATTGAAAATATTTTTGGATTAAAAGTAGTAAATAAAGTTTAATTTGTTGAAATTTATCTATATTTGAGTTAAAAAAATTTAAAAATATTTTACTTATATATAGGTTCACAGAGTACTATTATTAAGTGAAAAAAAAATTATTTTAACTTAGAATGAGATAGCTATCTTCACCTCATAATTTCATTCCTAAAATATAAATTATACTATATTGTAGAGGAATTTTGGATCCGATCGACAAAATCCACTGCGTACATTTTTCGTACATTAATCACTAATAACAATTTGAATTCAAAATTCACCTAAATATATAGCTGCACGGATTTTTATTTGTTTATTTATTTACCTATATGCTGTAAAATTTTATAGAACTACTCGATCGATCGGTTATTTCTAATACAAATTATTGAGATCTGAGCATGAAGAATTTTCTTTAATTTGACAAAAATAAATCATCTTAACTGATTTAATATGATATAATTATTTTTTCAGTAGACGCTTTAAGAATTTATATAAGATAGACTTCAACGTTCAAAGATCTTATGAATTTACTTCCAAATTGTAATATTTGGCCCTTTTTCTAAAGGCGGGCCCTCTATTTTTTTTTCCTTCTTTTCCCTATAGTTGACAATGTACATATCCTTCAGAAATAGAGGAAGGATACCCGCTTGAAATTCACAAATATGTCACATTCGTACAACAATAACGTTTTTCATTATCAATTACATGTCACATATTTTATAAATAATCTTATTCATTAAATATATTATACGTCATTAGTCCAATTTCTAGAATATATATAATAACAATACCTGTTGTGTCAGCTTCTGTTCATCAAAGACCCCTTGTTCGAAAATGAAACCATTCCTCATTTTCCATATACACCAACTCGTAGTAGCCCAAAGTACCCTCCATCTTTGTGTTTGCTCTTTGGAGGATATGATGGAGGGTGTAGCCAAGAAGTTAGAGAATGCACAGTTGCATAAAGGTGTCGGGCTCGCCAATAGCTCCAACCACTTTTTCAACACACTGTCTGCACGCCTACATGAGAATAAGACATGCTGAATTGTTTCTAGTGCCTCCATACAGAATGGAAGCTCCGTTGATCAATCTCTAGTGCCACATTTCTATTCAGTAAATTCTCCTTTGTGGGTAAAGCATCCAAGAATACCCTCCATATAAAGATTTTAATCTTTGGTGGGATTTTGATCTTCCATACCACCGCTATAAACCTTATTTGTGGGTTTCCTGGTGCTTGTGCTATAAAGCCCTATATGCAGACCTTACAAAGAACACACCACTCCCCTCACGCACTCATTCCCATTGGTTCGTCCTATCCTCCCTTAGGGAAGCAGATTCTAAGATTCCCTTTAATTCTTCCACATATTCCAGTTCCCAAGTGAACCAAGGTCTTTGCCATTCTAAACTCCATTGCCATCTTCCATTACTCCATTGACCCATGCTAGCCACCGGATTTTGTTGCTGTGTCAAAACAGAAAAAAGTCTCCTAAACCTCGCTGCAAGTGGATCCTCTAATGCCCACGAGTTAAGCCAAAATCTGGTTCTTTGTCCACCCCCATTTTCCAATCTACTGCATCCATAAACCAGTTGCTATTATGCTCCCCACCTGATGCCAACATTATATCTCGCCACCACAGAGACATCATTTGTTTCTGTGATCCTCCTTGTACAGTAGTTGTAGGTCCATATTTGGATATCAAGATTCTGCCCCACAAGGAATTTGGTTCATGATATAATGTTCATCTCCACTTTGCAAGTAGAGCATCATTAAATAAGTCCAGTCTTTTAATGCCAAGTCCGCCATCCTCTTTAGGTATGGTAATTTTCTTTTATAGCGGTGGTATGGAAGATCAAAATCCCACCAAAGATTAAAATCTTTATATGGAGGGTATTCTTGGATGCTTTACCCACAAAGGAGAATTTACTGAATAGAAATGTGGCACTAGAGATTGATCAACGGAGCTTCCATTCTGTATGGAGGCACTAGAAACAATTCAGCATGTCTTATTCTCATGTAGGCGTGCAGACAGTGTGTTGAAAAAGTGGTTGGAGCTATTGGCGAGCCCGACACCTTTATGCAACTGTGCATTCTCTAACTTCTTGGCTACACCCTCCATCATATCCTCCAAAGAGCAAACACAAAGATGGAGGGTACTTTGGGCTACTACGAGTTGGTGTATATGGAAAATGAGGAATGGTTTCATTTTCGAACAAGGGGTCTTTGATGAACAGAAGCTGACACAACAGGTATTGTTATTCTCATGGTCGTGGTTGGCAACTTTGAATAACCTATTCTCTTATTCCTTTACTCAATGGCAATCAAATTCGGGCCTCTATATACTTGGATGATGATCCTCTAACAATAGGGATAGTCATGTGGCAGTTTATAGAGGTGTTAGATGTTGTTATTAAAAGGGGTGGCAGATTAGGGGGTTGAGGGATTTCTAGGATTGTATATGTTAAGATTTTTCTTTGACACTTTTTTTATATACTAATTAATTGTTAAAGTCTTTATAATTTAAATTGTATACACTAGACAATATTTTGTACATATTTCGAATCCTATACAAGGTCGGTGTCGGATATAATAAATTGAAAGGTTTTTAGATTAAAGATTTTATTTTAGATACTCTAATATTTTACAACAGTAGTTTTTCTCTCTTGTCATAATATATTACCAGTTATATCAATTAATTATCTCTCATCTTTTTCTATCTTTCTAAAGGTGGACTATACTTGCAAGTGTCTAAAAATCTTTTTCTTTAAATTAGCTTTAATTATGGGTTTTATGTTAGAATTTTCATGATAGAAGAAGTATTATTGGAAAACAAATTAAAGATCCTAAATTACATGTATTCCCTCTGGATAAATTATTTATAATTGTTAATAATAAGTTATAGTAAATTCAGGTTTACGCTTAGGAACCCACCATTAAGACTTTGACTTTAAAATGATGCTCGATCCCCTAAGCTCTCTGACCAAAAAATAAAAACCTTTTCAAACCCTCAAATTTTAGGCTTTGAAATTGAAAGAGGGCAAAATCGGTAATCATATAGGTTCATTTATTCGACACATGCAAGTGGGGTTTACTACAACCTCGTAGTTTTACTTGAAATGCAAGAACCCCATTTTGGTAAATTAAACTCGACCAACTTGTCCCATATTTTAATACGTCCCCCACATGAACTTCATTTAACCTTTCATCTTTTGAAAACCCTACCCCACCACCCTCTCTCTCTCTCTCTCTTTCTTACTATGTTCAACCTTGTATCTACTACAACTATATATAACCCTAACCACAATACCAAACCCAAACTTCACTCATTTTTTCCCTTCTCTTAAAAAAAACCCAAAACCCTATTAATACCACAACATCAACTAATATCATCACCGTTGTGTTCATAATGCCACCAAATCCACCCAAGTCATCCCTCCTGCTCCACCGGATCAACCACAACGGCTTTCATGTAAAGCCCTCCGCAGCGGTGCCAGACGCTGTGGCACGCTTCCACACCCATACCGTAGCGCCGCACCAGTGTTACTCTGCGGTGGCGCAGGAGATCTCAGCCTCCGTCGCCACCGTGTGGTCAGTGGTGCGGCGCTTCGACAACCCGCAGGGGTACAAACACTTTGTGAAGAGCTGCCACGTCATCGGCGGGGGCGGCGACGTGGGCACGCTCCGGGAAGTCCACGTCATCTCCGGACTCCCTGCGGCACGGAGCACGGAGCGGCTGGAGATCCTGGACGACGAGCGCCACGTCATCAGCTTCAGCGTGGTCGGCGGGGACCACCGCCTGGAGAACTACCGCTCCGTCACCACGCTCCACGCAGCTGCCGCAGACGACGGCGCCGGAACGGTGGTGGTGGAGTCGTACGTGGTGGACGTGCCGCACGGGAACACGCGGGAAGACACGCGCGTGTTCGTGGACACCATCGTGAAATGCAACCTTCAGTCGCTGGCGCAAACTGCGGAGAGCTTAACGCAACGAATCAACAACGATTACAAGTGCTGTTCCTAATTTTCCCATTTTTACCTTTTTTTTTTCTTCTTCTTCTACGATTTATGGATCAATAATATATATATATATATATGGTGTTTGTTAATTGAGTATTGTATATGTGTATATTGTGATTATTACTGGATTGCTGTTTCATATTTTTCGCTGAAAAAGTGAAAATTAGAACAGGGTTTTTGTAAGGCCGGTACTATATCTCTCATTGTAGTATGTTCATAAAATCAAGGAGTAATATTTCCTTTTTATACTCTTTGTTCTTTTTTTTTTATAATAGGCAAAAATATGTTTTTAATCTTTTATTTCATTAAAAATTCGTTTTTTAATCTTTTAATAGATTTATTTTGATTCTTTAATTTTATTTAATATTATACTTTTAAAATAATAATAATTTTTTATTTTAAAACTGAATTTTAATTGTGTGTTTTTGTATTTTACAAGTTTCATCGATCAATTTATAAGTTAGTTTTATTCTATGAATATAGTTTATTTTCATTAGTTAATTGAAATAATTTTTTAAAATAATTTTTTTATAAATTAATTGACTACATTTTATTTTCTTATTTTTATTATTAAATAAATAAATAAATATGTCATTTTACAATAATCAGCTAATTATCAAGTAATTTTATTAAATATTTTCAATTCAATCAAATAATTTATAAGCTTTTAATTTTCAGCTTCTAAAACTTTTAACTTATAAGTTTTAGTGCTAAACACCAAATATTTTTTTATTGATTTAAAATGTGAAGTTTATCGTATTAGTTCACCCAATAAAATTTACGGAACCCAACTTATGTAGATTTTAAACATGGTAAAAAATTTATATGAAAAGTGGGTTCCAAGCAGCTAAAAAACTAAAATAATCTAATATTATTTTCGATTTTCAGTAGATTATGAGACTCAATTTTCATGCGTTTTTTTTAATATAAAAAATAAAAATGTACTTTAGCCTTTATAATGTCATATTAGTAATTACATTTTTTTTATTTTCACTATTTTTTTTACCATGTCCATATATCATTTTCCAATAGCAAAACCTAGCTTACTCAGATTTAATATTCATAAAAACTATTATGCAATTCATGGGCAATGAATTAAATCTCCATTTTTTTTATTAAATGATATTTTTTCAAAATTAATTTTTTTTTAATTGTCTAAAAAGATGTGTTAAGTAAATTGGTATTTTTTTTTGTTTAGATATTTTGTAATTTAATTATATTTTTGTAGTTTACTGTTTACCTGTATTTATAAATACTTTTATGAATCGATCACGAGATACTTGCTGGTGATTCAATTAAAAAATATTGGTGACATATTGCTAATTTGAATGGTTATTGTTAAAGTTAATGTGGGTGGGAATCCAACTGGGGCCTCTTCCTACTTTTATTAATCAATTTAGTGGAGATAGTGATAATACGAAGATAATTGCACTAAGTATATACTATGTTTGATAAATTAATTGATATGAGTTTGTGAATTGAGTATATTATGCGTCATGAATTACAAGTTCTAACTATGAAATATTATGAACCTTTTTAGATTGAGTTCCCAGAAGTTAAGGCGAAATGAAGATGAATATTATTGTGATTCAGTTTGCTGTATGGATTCTGTTGGTGTTATATATGAGTACTGTGGGTATATATGTCCACACTTCATCGTGTATCATAATGTAAAGCTGTGGGGTATATTCACATTTAAATTCACCTTGGCCTATATATATTATAAATAAGAAAGATAAATAGAGAAGACCATATAACAAAACAAAAATATTCAATGGGAATAGCATATTAAAGAGTATATACTATGTATCTAACAACCTGTCGTTAGCTGTAACGTAAACATATCTAATTAATGTTGATGATGTATATGCACACACAAACACAAAGAAAGTTGCAACCAATGAACCATGCACGGGTCCATCAAAATATTATTGTTTACGCAAAGAGAAGAAATTAAAGTATATTATACAAAAGATAATGCAAGTTGCAGTATAATAGTACCAAGTTAGTAGTACAAGGTGTATGCGCAGATCTCACTCATTTGAATTATTTAAATATAATTCAATTTGTACGCGAGAGAGAGATATGCGATATACTTGACCAACGGAAAGTGAAAGAAATGAAATGAAATGAAAAGGAGGCAAATTGAAGAAAAAAAAGGATGGCACACGTTTGTTTTGTTGGAGTGTGAAGGATGAATAGTGTACGTCGTCGGTTTGTGCAAGTTGGTGAGCAAGTGGGAGAAAAGAGACACAAGGCAGGATGGAGGAAAGAGAGATGCTCTTGATTATCCCGCGTGCATCACCACGCACCCTTTTGGTTTGTCCACTTTTCGAGTTTTGATGTTGTACATTGAACATTTCAACATTTAATATTTTTTTTTTTTTGAGATCTAGATATCTTTCGTTGCTCGAGAATAATATTGATCAAATTGGGTAAGGTTAATATGAGTGGTAATTTTTTTCATTTCTAAATATTTAATATAGTTCTAGACCTAAAATTTAAACTTATATTAGTAATTAAACTCAAATAATTTTATCTGAGATTAACTCACATACTTACTAGTATTTTTCTTTTTAGTAACTATCTTATTAATATGAATTATTTATTGGTCTTGTTGATTATAAACACAGGTGAAAAGCATCATATTATAATGTGTTATCAATGTCGATTATGTCACATCCAACATAGTAAAAAATATGGTGACATTTTTGTAAATAATGTAAATTCTACAATGTTGCTTGTTGCAAAATTGATGTATCTTGTGCCATTTTACTTTGTGTTTAGGAACAGTCGACATAGAAGTCCTTTTATATTATGCCTTGTAACACTGTAATTTTTTTTGTTAATTATTGTCTTTTAATAATAATTATGTATTGAGTTGTTTTGGAGGTGTGATTGAGAAACTCTATAAGTTAAGGAACTCCTAAGGAGTGTTTGGGGGATTTTGAGGATTTCTTTGGTCAGAGGTCCAGCTTGACTCTAAGTAAGAAGTATATAAGGTGTCTATTAAGAATTGAACTTTATGAGTTCAGTTCTTAATAACCTTGGAGAAATAAGTTAGAGAGAAAAGTTATGGAGTTCTGATCCTTCTTTTACTTTCTAGATTTCCCAGACGTGTAGGATCATCACTGATTAGTTAAGTGGGTGATTCAAGATTGTTGGAGCTAAGAATCAATGATAGTGTGGAGTCTCAGAGCTCGACCTCCATTTCTCGTTCTTCTTCTTCTTCTTCTTCCTCAGTTCTTTTCGAATAGGAGGTAAGAGAAGCTAGAATTGATTTCATGTTGAATTGTTGAGTGGTTGTGTATGAATTGGGTGCTGATTGGGTACAATGGTGTTGTTGATTTGCATGAATTTTATGATAGAAGTTGAACTTGGGTGTTTTTGGTTTTCAAGAGAAGGACATGGTGAACTTGAATAAATTATTGTTGCATGTGTTATTTCTTGCTGGAAATGAGTGATTCATGATTTGTATATGTGAATTATATTGTTACATGCTTGGTTTGCTTGAGTTTCAGATGGCCTTTGAGCCAAATTTTGAGTCTGTTATGTGTAGAACTCATCATCACGCTATGGTGTGCCTTCATAGCATCATATGTTGTATCAATTAATAAGGATCTCTATCTTGCTCACGTCGAGCGTAAGATTGGTAGTGTTCGGTATGAGGAGAGAGAATTGTCTCAAGTTGAAATGATGTCGGGTGTGGTTTGGATGGCGTCGGGTGTGAGGTGAGAGAATTGACTTTGCCTAGTTTGACGTTGGGCAGGAGGAAAAAGAATCATCTTTGCCTGATTTGGGGTTAGGTATGAGATTTTGCCACTCGAAACGTGAGAGCCTAGGGGTCTTTACCTAATCCACGTTGGGCGTGGGTTGAACGGCGTCAGGCATGGGTGGTAAAGAGCTCCTTGCCTCACTGGCGTCAGGCGCAAGGTGGATAACGAACTAGGCATAATTTACTTTGAAAAATCTTTTTTTCTGATTTGTGATATAGTGAACATGGATAGGTTAGGTGAATCTATTTCATGTTTTATATTGATTGGTGATATTTTTCTATGTATATTAATTTGGGATAATATTTATAGATGCTTAAAATGTTGTCTTGATATATTCTTGAGGTATGATATTGAGAATACTTTAGGCATTTGGGAATGTTGTGTTAATACACTGTTGAGGTGTGATGTTGATGAGAATGTTATAGACATTAAGGCATGTTGATTAACTTAGGACTAAAAGAGAGGTTGTTTTCAAAATTTGGACATCCCATTGTGTGGATAGAGTGGTGCTCTACAAGCCTAGTTGTTGAAAATCCTCCTTAAATAGGTGTTAGTGGATTTTTGAGTTTTCTCTAGGACCTTAGTTGATATGGTATGTGGGTTAGGCCAAGGCATACTATTTACAAGTGACTAATGTTGACCTGTATGTAGACAAGGTCGAGACATACGTGTATAAAATGCCAATTGAGTAAAGTACAAGGTTGAGGATGTCCCTAACTGAGTACTAAAGAGGCATCGTATTTGGAGGGTATCTAGTGGACTAATTCCATAGGGGGCTTAGTATTGTAAGTTAATGTCATGGTAAGCTTGTAACAGCCCAATTTTCACTGGCCAAGAGCTCAATTAAGCTGGTTTAGTAGGCCGGAACGGACCGTTCCAAAATTGGAACGGGTCGTTCCGAATTACTAAATAGACTTACTTTTGGTAGCCCGGAACGGGCCGTTTCAGAATTGGAACAGGCGGTTCCAAACTACAAAAATTATCTACAAATTTTAGATGGGAACGGGGCGTTCCCAAATTGAGAACGGGTCGTTCCAGAGTTGAGAACGGGCCGTTCCAAAATATGACCGTTGTGAGTATTAAATGCACCTCAGAACTATGCCACTCCCAAAAAGCACACCTCTCATTTTCTGAGTTCTTTTCTTCTTTTCTCTCTTCTCTTCTTTTGCACTCTCTGAAGACCGAGGGGAACCCAGCGGAGGAGATCAACCAGATCCTTAGTTTCAGCCACTGTTTATCCAGGTACGGGAGAAAAGAGGATTATTTATGTGTAGAGTTACATGATGGAATTGGGTAGAGGAAGAGTCCTTAGGATTAGGAGTAATTTTATAATTATTTCTGTTTGGAGAATTATTGATTTATATGATTCTGTATGTGTTAAGGATTATGAATATATGATTAGTTTGTACAAATGATGATCTGGGAGAGAGAACGAAATCGTAGAAAAGTGTCTGTGAGTTAGGTTTTGGAAA